CGGGTTCCGTTAAAAATGCCATTTAAGTTAATCTGGTTAAATATGGAAATTCTTGGCGTTGATTCAGTCGGTGCGCTGCATCGCACTGAGTGCCTGTGCAATGTGCATGCACATCCTGAATGCACTCATTTCGTATGCAAATTGAAAGAGTACAGTGTGAGTGATCATTTTGTGCCTTTACGGTGATTTAATTCAATGCATTCTGCGTGTGTGATACATGTAATTTAAGCGTCCGACTCTATTCTCATTTTGTTGTTATTGACCGATTATGGGCACTTTGGATACCGCCTCACTTGTACTCACTTTGTTTGTGCACATGAACTGACTGACCATCTGCTGTGTGGCCATCGCACCGGATCAAAGTGCAATTTTTATGCGACTCAGTAAAGTGGATACCTTAACCCTAGATTTAATGTTTGTTTTGATGTTATTTCATCTCTTGTTTTTTTTTTATCACTTGAAAACATCTTTTCAAGTCGATTTTGTTATTTGATTTTATTCGTTTTGCGTTGATCTCACCAAAACAGACTGTTTTTGTACATCAAATATAAATAGTAACATGACCGCATCTACTGACACAGATTTTTATGTAACACACGCGCCGCTTCTTTTTGTTCAAGTACTTCGCATGCGAAAGTATATTAAAATGAGTATTTTTCGACTGGATACCATTCAATCCGTTTCCATTAGATTTATTTAGCGCCGAAAGATGGGCAAATGCCGGAAGTGAATTGGATTTTCATGTTTGCCATTTGATCGGTGGGTTTATGATCATAGCAATGCCCAAGAATAAAAACTTGTACAAATGGCCAGGGTTAATGTAGAACGTACACGATGGAATTGAGATAAATGGGAAAGGAAAAAAAAGAACAATCACAATTCTTATAATTTAATTTCATATCATTGGAATTTGCACGTAGAAAAAATCGGCAGAAAAAAAAACGAGTCGAAATGAAATGAAATGAAACCAGAAGAGATGAAGAAAAAAAAATGAGAGAATCGTTGTCTTGATGATTAAGATGATTTTGCACATTGTAAATGGCGAAACGATTTAGCTGAACAGAAAGTGATGGATGCTGATTACTACATATTGACCAACCACCGTCCTCTTGCTGCGTTCGGTTGTGAGTTTTTTTTGTCTCTCTGTACGAGTGAATCTTTTCAGAAAACATAAATCGGCTTAATGGGTCATAAATGGTTTTTATGGGCAAAATGTTCAAGTCGATAAAAAATTGGCATCACATACAGCTAGTTTCTTGTTCAATTTTGTGCCAGCACAACATGACTGTGGACATATGAAAAATGCGCACGAATTCGAAATGCGTTTCGAAGAAGAGTAATGAGAATGGTTTGTCGATTTGTTGTATCCCTAGGAAATCGATTGGACATTTCCTCAATTGTGCATGTATACAGATTCAATATGTTTGACGCTGTTCCAATTTATCTGTGTTTGCAACATATTTCAGCTACATTGGCATCGCCTAATTATTTTAAGAGTTCTCTTAATCAAACCAATAAACTTTTATCGATTGCCTTAACAAAATAACGCCCATAAATTATATCTCCGATATAGAAATGTCCATTTTTATAGATTGGTAAATCAAATGAATGTGAAAACCTCACAGTTGTTCGTATAAAAATAGCGTTAAACAAATATAACCGAATATATGCGAACCGAAATTTAAAGAATATTTCCCTTGCGTATTTCGTTGTTGTGTGCAAATTAAAATATAGGCTGCTTACAAAAACGTCTAAAAATATTTATTTATTTTATTTATTTATTTATTTCACCGTCTAATCACAGACTGAATAACATTATACAATTCATTTACAATTTGACAAGCAGTGAGACACTCCCGAATCGAATAGCCTAGCCACCAGCCCTAATGACTTCGAAGTGGCGCTCTGCGGCACCACTATTCACTATACATACAATTCTTCAAAAATACTGTTGTCTAAATTGAATACATTTCTACTAAATATTTGCCTTGATGCCGAGTCCAAAAACGATTGCTTCACTTTGTTAATAAAACAAAATCGTCTAAAAAAATTACAAGTTCGTCTTAAAGAAATCGTCCCTTCTTTTAACAAATCCGTCTAAAATAAATTTTTTTAAATGGCAAAATCATCTAAAATCTCATTTTTTCCAATATTTTCTTTATTTTTTGCTTTAAGAATCACACATTTTGCCGAATATTCATTTGATTATTTTTATTTTTTCTTCACAACACATTGCATATGAGCTTATTTTGATTCCAAAAAGTGATATGATCAAAACCATACCCAGTGAATTTGATAAGACATACACTGAAGATGGCTTTCCAATCCGGAGAGTATCTTTTCATTTGCAAACGACTTATGTAAATAATTTTATATTCTTCTTTATTTCTTTTTTAATAAAGAAGATATTGAAAAAATTGGCGTATTTCAGGCGATTTTCTCAAGATGAAAATAGTATCATATGAATTTGTGATTTTTGAGAGTGTTTTAGATGATATTGTCACTCTGAATAAACATTTTATACATAGATGTTTTTGGATTCTTTTAGACGTTTTTGTCAGATTTGCCAGAAAACTCGTATTTAGACGATTCTGTTATTTTAAAACCCGATTTTTTTAAGAAAAAAATTGTCACATTTTTAGATGATTTTGTCATTTAAAAAAAATGATTTTAGACGAATTTGTTGAAAAAAGGGACCATTTTCTTTAGACAAAATTGTCATTTTTTTAGACGATTTTGTTTCATTTTTAGACGTTTTGTATTTAACCATTCGATTGGCACGCGAAAAAAAACTACCGAAAAATGCGGTGATTTGCATTTTGATTTTATTTACATATCACTGCTGCTTGTCGATGGTCAACGTGTTGCTCTGTCAATAAATATCAATAATAAACAAAGAGCGGCAAAAAATAAGCGATACGTTCAAGAAATCCCCATCCAAGTGATTTGTGCGTGTTTGTAATTTTTGAGTGTAAATTTCGGTTTTGGCATGCAAAACAAAGCAAATCATTCGCGATTTCACTGATGATCAAATGGACAATCTTATATCTTGTCAATACGACAAATTCCCTGATCATCAAATGACAAACAATCAAAACACGTTGTGAGTTTTTGTGTTCCTATGTGTTTGTGTGTCGGAAAATCGCAAAATACGAACGAAAACATGCGCGAATGCGCAAAATTCAAATCAAAAACAGATGATTTTTTCTACCGAAGCGTGTGTATGGAAAGTCAAGCGTGTAATTTACATACGGCCAGCCATGGCGGCGATGGTGTGCAAAAGAGATGAATTAGCATTATCTCTGTCTCTTATCGGGATTATTTTACATATTGCCAGCGATTTTTTTTATTGTTGTGTTTGGTCTCTTCATTCATGCTCCGTTTTAGAAATCATGTGTACACAAATGTGAGAGACTGACTGAGTAAGCGTGGCGTCCCATCAACTTTATTTTCGTTGTTGTAGCGTTTTTTTTTCTGTCATCGTCATCGTTGTCGTTGTCGTCTTTGTTTGAAGCCAAATTTTATACACATGCAAATTTCGTACGGAATTAATTGCTAAATTTAACATCGACGGTATTGATGATGCCAGAAAAAAGGGTGCTCGACGGAAAGTCACTAGTAAATACAGCAAACGTAGATCGCATTAGTTTGTGAATACAGCCACTATGTTTTAAGCCCATTTACGCTATGTGTGTGTATTTTCTCTAATTTGTTCATGTTCACAGCAGTTATAGACGGTCAACATATCAGCACGAGCTGACTACTTTACCCATGGCGATACCGCATATAATTTGATTTCATTGACATATTTGTAGCGACTTGGAAAAAAAAAGAAGCCAGAGACCAAATCGTGGTCATTTGATTTTTCTTGAATGCTCCATCGATTAAGATTCCGGACGATGGAATTCTGGTTGACACTCAAATTATTTCCACAAATGCAACGGCTTTCGAAACCAAAGTGATGAAATTTTTCATTCTGATTTCGATAACGAAATGTTAGTCTCTGGTACTCGTGTCTGTGCAGCTAAATGTAACTCATGCTCTTGGTTACTGTTCATTGTTTCGCGTGTACATATTTTTGTTACTTCTCAATTCTCGTTTAATACACTTGAATGGCACTCGCGATACCACTACACACTCGTGCCAATAAGAGTGGCGTTTGGTTGGAACAGAGTGGGAGAGAGATAAAACAAGACCGCAGACCTTCGCTTCGCTCCACTCTGCGTTCTTGAGTTTTTAATAACGTAATCTATTTTGTTGTTTTACAACAAACTATTTTTTGGCGCACTACATGAAATGTATTTCATCAAAGTAACTTTGAAGTAATATATTTATTTGCAAAACGAATGAAAATCTTGGTTTAAATTCTTTTTTGAAATATACTGCCTTTGGTTTAAATTAAATAAATAATTATTTATTATAATATGAGCATAGAATCTAGAATCACTTTAATTCTGGTCAAGACTCAGAAAATATTATACGAAAAATTAATGTAATTTTTCAACAACATTTGATAATAAAAATTTGATTGGCGCTTTGAGATATTATGCACTTATTTGTCGTTACTGCCACTGTTTTAAATTAAATTAAAAAAAAGAGCATAAAATTCAAATTCACCATAATTTGTTTCATCACTCAAAAAGTATGTAGGGAAAAAAAGAGCAAATTACTAGCTCTACATTTCATGTAGTGCTAAAAAACGAGCGCGAGCGAGAAATAGACATACACACAGCGAGAGAAAAAAAAGTCGCTCATACGTAATATAGATCATTCATTACTTATTTTCTATTCTTCCTATTCTTGATATTCGTGAATTCACTGGGTTGCGGTGTTATTGTTGTTGCGTTCAGCTGTTTTTTTTTCACACACAGTGTGTTGTTTCATTGTGTTAATTCGGTTTGATTATTATGAACCGAGTACAGTTTGGCCGCTTTGCACGCTGCCAATCGCTGTGTTTATGTGCCGTGTGTGCTTGCCTGTGTCTGTGTGACGATGTGTATTGGTGCATGTGTGTGATTCTGTTTGTTGCTATTTAATTTTGTTTTATGTTGTGTTTTTCTCTCTTGACTCACAAAGCCTCGAATTAGTTTCGCTTTAAAGTTGATAGCGCACGGTCGCACAACGAATTTTTTTATTTATTTTTTTGCATTTCGTACAACAAAATCTAGGCAATACGAATCGCGCCCGACAAGCGAAGTGATCGTATCGCAGTATAAAAATCGTACCAGACCAAGAAAAATAAATCAAATAAAACAAAACTTTTTCTCCCGCCGTTTCCTTGTTCATGAAAGAAAAGAGAACCGTTTGATTCGATCGAGACAATAATTCATATCAGTAATAAACAATTTTTGTTGTTGTAATCGTCGAAAAAAAAAACTCAAAACAGAACAAGGCGACTCTACTATAAACACAATATCTGTGAAAGTGATAGTTTGATACAGCAAAGATCATCATTACACAGGAAACAAGTGACGAAAAAAAAGAAGAAAAACATACAGAGTGTATTAGGATCAGTCCGTGCGTGTACGGAAAGTTTCACTAGAAATCACAATCCTTTCAATGATTCAGTAGTTTAAGTGACCGAAACCGGGATAAATTGACTCCTAGGAAAAGCAAATTTCTACAGAAATTGGATCAACCGAAAACTGTTTGACCCACTTCACACTGAAAAAAAAAGACGGAACGAACTGTGATTCTTATATTTAAAACGCCTGAAAAACAATCCACAGCATAAAAAGCAGCGAATAAAAACGAAAGACGAAACACAAACAGATAGAATTAAACGCAAAATCTGGAGCACAACCAATATAAGTATAAATTAATTGAAAATCAACGAGAACGAGATGAAAGCGTGAAAGTGACTCTCATAAGAAGTTGCATTGAAAGAAAATCGCGAACGTAAATAATTAACGATTTTATCAAGACAAAGGAAAAAAAAGCAGCAACGCCAACAACAAGTGATAACTTTTCGTTTCAAAAAACGACAAGACAAAGGAAAATTGAGACATTTTTCAAAACCGAAGACATTCGCGGCTTAAAAAACAAAAACAATATCACCGTTCATTCGAAGATCAAGGAGTCATTTCCATTTAACGAGGACGGTGTTATTGACCAATTGCACCACATTCTTACGTCAATTGAATCCATTCAGTATCAATTGTGTCATATTGTTGCTGTGGTTGATTTTGTCAAGAAGAAGAAAAAAACGAATAAAACAGACAGAGAAAGAGAATGCCTACATCGAACGCCCACTGTGACGACAGACAATTTTTTGTTTGATGCAATCGAGAAGTGAGGACAAGATTAAAAGTTTTACAATATATATATTTAACATTTATCTGATCTAGTTACTAGTTTGGTGACATTCAAAGACCCGCGAAAATATCACCTACAAATTGTGTCTACGAATAGATATAAAGAAAGAAACAATCGCTGGATATCCATAGTTAGCTTTTTATTCGGGGTGTATATATATATATATATATATATATATATTTGGATGTGTGCATAAATTAATATTTAACGTGAAGCGAGAAATAAATACTGACATAGAGAGAGGCCGACCGAAAAATTGAAACACAAATTGGTGTTATAAATGAAATTGAATGCCGTGCGAAACGGAAAAGTAAATTTATGATATATTTACGAGCGACCAAAAGTTTTTCACGCATAAAAAATTCACAAGTTTACGAAAAAAGAAGCGAAGAGTCGTCGTATCGAGTAAGTGAGTCAGAGCATCACCGAAGATTCAGCGAACACCACATCGACATAGACATTGTGACGACACGTAACAATTTCTTTTTTCGCCAACTCCAACCATCGCTGCGGACATAGAACCGTTCACACAAATTTGCAAATAAAAGACTTTGTCGGATCCGACGACAACTCGTAAATTGTTTGAGTCAAATCAAGTGTGGAAAATTTCCTCCATTCACTCCGGCCGAAAACCCCGAAAAACAACGGTTAATCAACCAATAAATTATTGTCAGCAACTGAAGCAGTATTATCAAACGTAATTAAGTGCATTCTAAGTGCCTAATCATTTATACCGTGTTCTTTTAAACAAAGTAAAGAGAAAAAAAAATAGAACACGACATAAAAAAGCGACACACATTAGAATATTCTAACAAGCGACGCCGGTGGGAACAACAACGCCAGTCAGACAAGTCCGAAGTTTAATTTGAAAACGAAACAACCGAAAGAAGTGAGCGAGTGAGAGAAGAAACCGCAGAAGTAGAAAAAACGCCACACTTGTCCACAATTTTAATAATAAGTTGTGGGCATATTCCAAGAAAACGTGCCTCTCCGGTGGATTTAGTTTCATTGTCGTTGGCAAATACTCAATTTCAAACAACAGAATTTCACTGTCGCCACACGATCACCGTTTTTTTTTGTTCCTTCTGGTTTTGTGTGTGATATCGGTCGTTCATGTGGAAAAAAGTTTGTACACACGTGAATTTCCCAGCAAAACATCGAAGAAGTCATTACTTGATGAGTGTTTCAAGTGTGAACACCTATGACCAAAGAGAAATCCAATCAAAATCAACGCAACGAAGAAATCATCGATGCAGGACAACGAAATCCGTTTCAATCAACGAAATTAAAGAGAAATTAAGCGACGACTGACGATTTCGAAATCAATCAACGCCCAAGACATAAAAATTAAAAACAATAACAGTTTAAAGAGAAGTTTAAAAAAAAAAACAACAAAATAGTGGAGTGACTAATAACGATAGAAACCATGGCATTAGATTATATAATCGGAGGTTTACAATTGTTAGCAGCTGCTGTGAATGTGCTGGCTTTGGGTGCATTTTGGATTTCACCCGGTTTACGAGCCACAGCCAATCGATTTGTCATTAATTTATTGGTTGCAAATATTATTGCGTGTTTGGCATTGACTCCAGCTTTATGGCTGCATGGCGGCTTGAAAACCCGTTTTCATATGGACAACACGGTTGAAGCAACGGCCGAACGCATTTTTGATTTTCAAACCGAATTTCGGAAATCATTCAATGACCGATTGATTCATCATTCGTTGGAATCGACAACAGTTAATCCAACATTGCAACACAATCATCGCAGCCATCATCACAGCTATGGCGGTCGAGTCGAACGTGACGTCGAACAACCAGAATATATTGACACCGATCAATTTGCGATGAACAATCGCATTGGTGGTAGTAATGTTCAAAAGTCAATCGAATCGCTGGTCATTGAACGCGATGAACGTGGAAATATCCGGAAATTTAGCGAAAAACAAGTGGTTGACATTCATGGCGATGAGAAAGACGAAATTGAGATCGTTGACGAGATTGTAGAACCGATCGCAGCGGTGGTGAGCGAACGAGGACTCGAAGTCGAACCAATTGTCACCATAAAACAAACCAGTTCATCGGCCCATCAAACACACACCGTATTCACTGAAAATTCATTAATATTCGACTGTACACGATTCTGGGGATTCGATTTTGCCGCAACCGTAGGTAAGCTAGATTTGAACAAATTGACTTTTTATTCTGTCGATTTTTATATTCAAAGTAGCATGTGACTTTTGTCTATTTTACAAATTGTTAGCGACTTAATACATTTTATTGTTAATGATAATTGCTTGTCCATATCACGACTGTTTTTTTTTTTTCAAAGACCGTATCACACAATTTATAAACACTAACGAGATTGTTTGTAAAAAGCATTTTCATGTTTGCATAATCATTGCCATAGTGTGATAATGGTAATTATGAACATAGGCACAGCAACAACAACACCGTTTTTTTATTCAAGTGAAATTGATCTTGAATACATCGTCTCGTATCGAATGATACAATTCCAATACGATTCGCATATTCGTACATCCATATATGCCGTGTCATTTGCATTTTACGCACAAATTTACGATTTGTTTTTCCTCAATCGCGCACGTTTTGCGCGCATCTTCTTCTTCAACTTTAACGGTATTAGAAATAATCATTGCCAAATAAATATATCGAAGGAAAAAAACGGAATTTAAAAGACATTTAAATGAGCTTGCATTAGACTCGAAATTATAAAATGGCGATCGAACGTGTGTGCATGTGTTCGTTGAATTTTGACAATCGCAAAACTTTCAAAATCGTTGAACGATTTTTCGAATAAAGTCAAAAGTCAAGGCGTTGCAAGTCGTCAACGCGGCGGCTCATCATATACGTGTCAATTTGACAGTGCCATATCTCGCGGTTGGAGCTGGCGCGAAAAAAGCACATTTCATCGTTTTTCTTACTTCATCTCAAAACGATTGATTACGACGCATTTCATAAGTGCTGAATGCTCGTTTGGATGTGGTTCAGTCGAACAATTCCTCGATAAGCTTATTTTTTCCCAATGTCTTTGATCACTGTTTTTGTCGTATGTAAATACCGCAAATCATTCAACTTTTTGTGCGGACGGTTTTTTGTTTTCATTTCTTGTTTAATGAACGAATTATCTCGCACTTCCAATTTTTTTTCTCATGAATTCATACTCTTTATTTGAACGGCACCCAAAAAAACACTTGAAAACAGATACATACTGATGTAGCCAATCGCTGCAGTCAATGAACGATCAAAATTAAATGTCTGGAGCTTACACACAGCCAAACCCACGAAACACACAAAAAAACAATAAAGACGGTTTACCAAAGGTACGAAGGTGCTGATGAACCATAACGCCACATGAATTCGACTTTGCACTTGCTTGGGTTCAAACTGGAAAAAATGTGAGAGAGAGAAAAAAATTGCCTACTTTCTTTTCAATTGCAAGCCCCATTTCGATTTGTTATCACACGTATGCATAAAAATCGATCGAAAAAATCAGCCATACACGAATGACAAAAAAAAAGTTATCATTCACTTGAAAGTTGCACATTCGATTGGAACCATTCATTCAAAATGCAAAAAAAAAAAATTTCGATTGGCATTCATTTCGATGGATTTTTTCGTGTGTGTGTGTGTATGTTTGGATAGACTTCCAATAACGAAATGAATGAGCATTTTTTCACAACAAGCGAAAAATTCGTCTCTATCATAGAGCCGAAATGATATGACAGCGTTGATTTCATAATACGTGAAATTCACACGAACCCAAATTGGCGTGTGCCATTAGATTTGATGAACCATTGATTGGCGAACAATACGTGTCTAAAAATAGACACGCTTTGATTGCAAGTTGTTAAGAATTCTCTGTGCCATTGAGACACAGAGAGAGAGAAATAGCAAACGGGTGAATCACCCGTGTGGAAAATTTTTGACTGACTATTCAGTCGATTAATTTGGGACATTTTGACTGACTAAAAGTGATTGTCTCGAACAAAAAAAGCAACTGCAGTTAACTTTAATCACAAATCACTCTTAGTCAAAATGTCTCAAATTAGTCGACTGACTGAAAGAATAACTAAACGTGATTGTCTCCATACAAAACGCATGATTTCAATCAACTTAGCCAGTTTTAGTTGTGTATCACTACATACAGTTACATACAACTGAGTGACTGTTAGTCATTTTATTTGCACACGGGCAATGAAACGTTTCCTCTAATTTTGGTTAATCACGTGCGAACAGATGTTGTGGCTTAATATTCACTCGAAATACCGTTACGAAAGATGCCAGACGAACATATTATTATAGGTCATTTACAAATTGTAGCATTTTCCTCCGAAAATGAGACCAACGTGCACATAGACCATCAGAAACCTTGATAGAAATTTCAGCAATGCCAAGAATTTATCCTTGAATTCGGCGCGGAATATTAATCAGTCAAGATGAAATTTACTCGAAAGTTCCTCAAAGTCGTTCGAAAAAAAAATAAGTCGATTTCAAATAAAAATATGCATAACTATGAATCATTTTGCTTACGGATGCAAGAAATCCCCCAATAAACGAATACACATCGTTTTGTCGTTAATAGTTACGGGGATTTTCTAAATAAGATCATGCTCTGATAGAACAATTCCAAGCACTAGTAGAGATGAACTTTGAGCCAACAGCGATTGTGATCAATCTTTTCTCAGGTGTGTGTGTGTGTGTAATTAAGAGCTCGTAATAGTTCTAGCTTGGTAATTAAGATGATTTAAGCATAATAACGATGACTGTCGAACATGTAAATGTGGTGTTTACACTAGTAGAAATAACACTGATTTTCGTCGTAGACTCATTCATCTTATACTATTTTAAGAACGATGGCTTTGCTTGCGCGGCGTGCAATATTCAAACTTCAATTATGATAATCCATTCATATTTCATGCGATTCGCCGATATTTTCAAATGACAAATCTATTTTTGCTCTGATTTATTTGCGGTTTGAGATTCAGTAAAATTATGCATGAGCTTCGCAACTCGCAAAATATATCACGGATAAACATTTCGGTTTGCGTCATCGCATATATAAATGTGGATGCTGTTTTCTCGTTGTTGCAATTTGTTCAATATATTCAGTGGAAAAATCAGCCCGAGTGTATGCGTTTCTTATACGGACACTTCACAATGAACTGTTTCACAGGCACTCTCCAAAAAGTTCGTTGCGAACGGCCTCTTTTTAGCGGTATCATTGCATTATGTGTTTTTGATTTGTTCAGCTGATCAAAATATTGAAAATAAATCGGAACGCATCAAAACCGACGAAGATAGATGACAACGACGACGATAACGCGAAAATCTCATTCATTGGCAAGTCATTATCACTTTGTATAATATGCGTCACTTTTCATTTCACAATCAAGTGATCAAGCAAATCTGCGTATGCAAATCGTATGACAATGACAAAAATATACACTTTTGCGAAGCGCTTAAATAAACTAATTTTCTATTTGAACACGCGTGTCCATTCATGTTTTAGGCAAATATTTGTATTTCACGCCCAACATATTTAAATTTGATTACGTCCGAACAGGCGATATTACTTTTTTTGTGACGCGTGATTGTTTTCGTTTACGGTGTGTATGTATGATTATTTTCCAAAACAAAAATAGTAATATCCGGACAGCGTAATTAATAAGTACGCGAACTTGAAAATAAAAGCAAGAAACATTTATTTCAGTTAACAGTGGTGATAACGATGTCTTTGCTTGGGGTGAATATTTTTTGTTTGTCTTTTTGTTCGCGTTCACAGAATTATCGCATTACACAGTGCTACACTGACTTCGAATCCAAAAGAATGAAGATAAGCGCGTAATTGCGATCGCAAGCTTGGCTACAAAATCAAGGGTGTCTATTTTCGTTCGGATTGCCGGTGCATTGATTTTTATTTATGGAGTGAACTGTTCATTCCGAAATCGAACCTACCTTCAAATGACTTTCGTGAATTGGGAATTTTATCTTTGAATAAGCAACATCTCTCTTTGTGTATCTGAAGCTGTGTACTGTATCCAATTACATGAGAATAAGATGGATTCTACGGGCCACATGTATGGAAAAAAAAATCGATGCTTTGTTTTTCGTCACGTTGAACATGTAACGTGATTAGTTGTCTTTGTGAAACATACACGTTTTCTACCATGAAATTCCCAATACCAAATTTACATCGATCCCAAACGTGACACTCAATTCCCTATCGATTGGTGGGAGAAACCAAATTTCAGCGAATGAGTCAATCGATGTTCGTCTCCATTTTTCCAGGAAAAAATAAAATTTACGTCGAAAAACAACAGAACGCCCTAATGGAGACAGCTCGAATTTACATCAGTATGACGTGCAATAGATAAACCGAGGGGAGTTTGTTTACGTTGCAAGCCGCTGTGTGCTATCGTCAATCGTCGTGTATTGGAAGGCGAAAAACCGCACGCAATGTGGTGTGGATATGTGTACAGAGGCACGGTGAATGTTTTCGTCCTTTTTTTCTGTGTTGCAGATACCACACATGGCGCGACACAGTCGCGTATTTTCAATTCAACGATAACAACATGTTGATAAGAAATAAGTTTGTCATTCGAATCATCGTATGATCGAGATGTTAGAAAATTGCAAAGAATCCAAAGCATGCCGTTTCTTTTTCATTAAACTCTTTCTTGCAACCTTTCGCATTCTCGTCGATGACATTCATTATTTCTCGCGCGTCCATCGAAGCTATTTTTCGATAAGCTTCTTGGAAAAATACATATTTTTCTTGCTGCGCGATTCTTGTTTGTTCTAGGGCGCATATTGTATTGTTTGTTCTTTATTTTGCCTCCCCACACTCACACACACAGTGCACGTATTTAAGTATCCAATGCAATCAATTTACCATGAGAAATATATGTGCATTTCCACGGAAATGCATGAAAACTGAAACCAATATGTTCAATGTCACACACGCGCGAGTAAACGGGTACTACGTATTCCATTCATGATTCCGATATT